ATCGGACATGACTTTCCTTTGCTCATATATGAATACACGACCAGTGTAACTCCACATCATGTTCAACTAAAAGAATGGAAGTTAGACTTCATGTACGTGTGATATGTCAAAATATACTCTACTGTCATGTATATCTAAAAAGAACAAATTTTAAATCCTTAATAAAAATTAGCAAATTGTAAAAAACAAATGATTCTTGTGAGCCTAAATTTTAATGTATTTGTGACTATTTTTTAATATTTATTTTGTAATTGTAGTTGGACACAGTAACTCTGTTTATATTTTTATTTATTTTAGTTGTTGAAATTCCTTTATTTTATTTATTTATATGTGGTGCTGAGAATTGAACCCACTGTCTCACACATGGCAGGCAAGTGCTCTACCCCTGAGCCCCAGCCCCAGCCCAGATATGTTTTGACAGCGCTAACTCCATTTTGACCTTTCCCTGTAACAAGCTGTGAAGGAGCCAAGCAGCTAGCTGATAGCCATCTGGACAACAGTGTACCCATATGCAAATAAGGTAGTTGCAGACCAGAACTTTTCCTTCTAAATTTGACATGTGGAAACTGAGATATACACCTTCTAGGACTATAGATACCAGAGCCTTCAGATTGCTATCGGAGACACATCTTGCTGTGACTCTACTTTGCAAGTATTTGCTCTGAAATGGCATTGTCTGTTGGAGGCTCTGCTCAGCAATAAGTTTTGCTGCATTGTTGACAACCTGATGATATTCTGGGCCCTTGTCATTTTGGAGGGAATGGTCCCCTGGTACAGGGGTGCTCAACCACTGAACCACATCCCCAGCCCTTTTTATATTTTATTAGAGACAGGGTCTCACTGAGTTGTTGAGGGCCTCACCAAGTTGCTGAAGCTGGCCTTGAACTCACAATCCTCCTGCCTCAGCGCCCTGAGCTGCTGGGATTACAGGCATGCACCACCATGCCCGGCCCATTTGGACAATTTCTTCCATGGATCTTACAGGGCATAAGACCTGCCATGAATCTGAGGCAGTTCAAAGGCCCCTTCACCCTGATGCTTGCAGTCATGCCAGAAAGATTTCAGATGTGTTGCTCAGAATAATAGGCAAGGGTTTATTAGAAAAGATATGGAAGGGGAATGGGGGACACTATCAAGGAAGAGAAGAGAGTGGGTCCTCTCAGAGAGGAGAGGAACAGTGTGCCTCTCCTGCCCTCTAGTTTTATGGACAGAGGGGAGGTCCAGGGAAATTTCCAGAGAGCCCTGCCTAGGTCCACCTCTTGACTTTTGACTGTCAGCAGGATGATATCAGACTTTCAAGTCCCCATTACATATGACAACTCCAGGTCGATTGGCCCAAGCTGATCAGATCTAATCAGAACCTGTTCTTATAGATTTTATGGTTAGAGGGCAATTACCCTTATGTCCCTGAGTTCTGGGATCTGATCTGTGTAAGGGTCACAAAATCCCCCTCCCCTTTCAGAGTCATGTGTGTTTTTAAATTTTGTTTAGAGTTTTTAAATTTTTTTTTTTAGTTATCAATGGAGCTTTATTTTTATTTATATGCAGTGTTGAGAATTGAACCCAGAGCCTCCCACATGCAACCGCTCTACCACTCAGCCCCAGCCCCAGCCCCAGCCTGCGTGTGTTCTTTATGGGCATTTTGGGCCTGCATTTCTCCTGCAGAGAATAGTTTGCTGAGGAATGTGACACATCCTGTCAACTTAAGCCAGGCACTGCTTCACGTAAATTACTATGGAAGGTTTTCGGGGCTAGGGTCTCACCCATTAAAAAAATAAAAAGCATGTGAGGGTCAGCATGGTGGGCCCAGTTTATAAAACTCTTCCCATAACCCCTCCGGTTCCCACCATTCACATCTATCTGTTCCCTATCAGATGCTCCGTGTTTGGTTCCTGACTAGCGCTGTTCTCGCGTGATTTACTCATTTTTGGCTAGGTTTTCATATGTTCCTTTAGCTTATTTTTTTTATCCTGCTTTTCTGTATATTCCAAAAAGCCACTTAATTTGGAACTGTCATTTGTTTTATTCAGCATGTCATTTCATTAGACGTCTGTCCTTTAAAAAAAAATTAGTTGTAGTTGGACACAATATCTTTATTTTATTTTTTATGTGGTGCTGAGGATCGAACCCAGGGACTCGCACGTGCTAGGTGAGCACTTTACTGCTGAGCTGCAGCCCCAGACCATGTCTGTCCTTCTTGAGTTTAAATTGTCACCAATATTAGGGAACCGGACCACCCTTGTCAGTCTGATGTGACAAATTGGCACAGAAAGCAGGGGATCTTTGTTTAAATTTTAATTATGCTAAGGGGCGTTCTATACTCAGAAATTCCCTGAAGTCCCCTCATTTGCTGACTATTCAAAGGTGAGGCAGTCGCAGCTCCTGCAGGGCACCGCTGCTCCTCAGCGCCCTTTCCTTGTCTGCAGGCTCCCTGCTGCAACACTCTGTCCACCAGAGCGTGTCCTTCAGACCTCAGTCCACAGGAGTTGATGGAGTCATTCCTGGGAGTGGGTATCTCACTCCTGTTCTTTTCTTCCCTGGGGACCGGGAGCATTGCCTCATTCAGGGAACCGCAGCTTGGCATGAGGCAGTAGACCAGAGAAGCAATTCACGAGACTTTCTGATTAAATATTATTGGAAAAGCCAGGGATGGTGGTGCACGCCTATAGACCAGTGGCTCGGGAAGCTGAGGCAGGAGGATGGCAAGTTCAAAGTCGGCCTCAGCAACTTAGTGAGGTCCTAAGCAACTTATCAAGAACCTGTCTCAAAAAATAAACAGGGCTGGGGCTGGGGCTCAGCGGTAGCGCACTTACCTGGCATGTGTGAGGCACTGGGTTCGATTCTCAGCACCGCGTATAAATAAATAAAATAAAGGTCTATCAACAACTAAAAAAAAATTTTGAAAATAAAATAAATACATAAATAAATTAAAAGGGCTGGGGGTGTAGCTCAGTGGCTATGTGCCCCTGGGTTCAATCCCTGGTATAAATAAATACAACTGGAAAAAGGTTTTTAGGGCTAGGGCCTCACCCATGCTGGGCAGGTGCTCTACCATTGAGCTACACCCCTGGCCTTACTATTTGAAATTTTAACAGAAGCCATCAAAGACAGGCCAAGATGTATACCTTTGTGACTACTATTGAAGCCCTCCTACCTTATTTCTTTGGTTAAGTTATAGGTGGCATTCATATTTGTGCTTCCTATTGCTGCTAAATCTTCATTTTCTCCCTCCTACCTTTTTAAAAATTAATTAAGCCTGCTTCAATTATGGAAATGTGTTCAGAACGGCCCTTCCAGGTTTTTTGTTTTGTTTGGTACTGGGTATTGAACCCAGGGACACTTAACCACTGAGCCACATCCCCAGTCCTTTTTTGTATTTTATTTAGAGACATGGCCTCACTAAGTTATTAAGTCTGGCTTTGAACTTATGATCCTCCTGCCTCAGACTCCCAAGTTGCTGGGATTACAGGTGTGCACTACTGTGCCCTGCCCCCTCCCCCAGGGTTTTAACACCAGAGGACACTTAGAGGACTCTGGGTAAACAACTACAAAAAAAAAATAATAATAATAAAATAAATAAATAAATTTAAAGGACATTCCAGAAGTACAGTTAATAACTCATCCTAGAGAAATGACACTGATACTTAAGATTATCTCCCTATATCTATACAGAGGAGTACCTCCACCTTGCCCTTTATTACACTGGTGTGTGAGTTCCTTGAAAGCAGCAACAAGGCCGGTCTGCTCCTGGCACCGTGCCCGGCACAGGGATGCACCCATACATGTGGTTGAGTTGAACTCTGCATGGGCCAAGCGTATGTAGGTGGTGAGGATGAGGAAGCCTGATTGTGGTCTCACTAAAGCTGGGTGTCCAGTTCCTCTCACCTCTGAAATGCAAATCTGGGGCGACTAGCCTTTGCATAAAGAGCAGGAAAAAGAGCAGTCTAAAGACTGCCAAGGCCTGGGGCTGGTATTCATCTTGCCAAGGGCTCTCTGGGTCCAGCCCAGACCAAAGCTGACGCCAGGGGGACTGCAGGCTTCTCCTTCCAGGTAGGTGCTTCCCGGCTCCTTTCTATGGAGTTAAAAGTAGCAGATGCCCCGCACAGAGATTTAGAGGGCGATCAACATCTGGAGCACAAGGAGGCAGGCTCGGGGATTAGATCACCCTACCTGGGACAAGGAGGAGGCAGGACTAGGGAGGTGGAGCTGGGAGAAAAGGGAGCAACACTTGGGAGGGGAGAGCGTAGGGGGGCCGGTGCAGTCACACGGGGTTGGCCGGAGAGGGCCAGGCCCCAGGGAAACCGGGAGTCCATCAGGACCGGGAGGCCTCTAGCGGCTACCGCAGGAGGCGGGCGAGCGGCCGGGAGCGGCGGGAGGGCACTTCCTGCCGGGGCCGCGGTCACCCAGGCTCCGCGAAGGAAGTGCCCTGGCAAGGCGGGGACGGGAAGCGGGGCGGTGGCTCGGGAGGGAGAGGGCGGCGGCCACACCCAGTCTTTTCCACCGGCCGGAGGCCGTAGACTGCGGACCCCCCGAACGGCCAGCACAGCGGCGTAAGGCCAGCGACCCCGCGAGCCCGACCACGTCAGCCCGGCCGGGGAGCAGCGCCTGCTCAGACCCCGCCTGGGGGCGCCCCGCCCACCGCAGGCAGGCCCCGCCCCGCCCCGCCCCGCCCCGCGCATTCCACAGGCAGCCGCTGCAGGAGTGGTTTAGTTTTGCTGTGTAGCCAGAGTCTCTAGTCATTAATGTCCGGGAACTTAATCAAGTCTGCAAGACCTGTCTCCATTTTGCAAATTAAGTGACTGAGGCTTCGGTAGCCCAGCCTCGATGTAGATCCAACCCAAATCCCGATTCACCTTGGAAGCCCTGAGAGCCGGAGCCCCTTCCTCCTTCGCACCACTCCTAGCCACTTGCTGAGGCAGGGTCACACTGCAGTCTCAGTGTGACTATTATCTGATCACTCATGCCCACTTCAAACTCCCCCAAAAACCACAGAAGCAGGATAGGGGGGGTCTGGCTTTCTCTTTAGTTCTTGTTACACTGTGAGGCTCTGGGTCACCAAGAAGGCACTAAATGCGAAGGTCACCCTTTTCAGGTCAACCATATCCTCCCTCCCCCCACCAACTCCCTTGGCACTGGTTTGTGGGTCCACTTAACCGTTCGACCCCGGGGAGAGCCCAAGGCCTTGACCTCCTGACTCAGCAAGTGTGGGGAAGAGTTTCAGAAACAAGTTAGAGTTGGAAGGCAGACATTCTGGGAGCTTCCCCCAGCCAGCAGGGGGCAAGGGAGGAGGCTGCAGTGGGTGGGTTGGCACAGGGGACAGGGACAGCTTGGCCCAGCTTCCTGGAGACCCCCCAAACCTCACAAGAAGTTTCCATCTCCTGCAGATACCCCAAAGGCACTGGTGAAGTCTGGGGTGGGTGGAGAAGGCACCAGTTAGGGGTGGAGACCCCCCACTTAGCTGGTGGCCTAGCATATTGCTGGGCACACAAGGTGCTCAATAAGTGTATTTTGAACGAACGGAGCAAAAGGGCTGTGAAGGACAGGGAACAGGGCCTGGGGCCCCTTGGCCCAGCTTGTTCCATTCAGAAAATAGCAGTTTAAAAAATGTAAAAATCCTTTCCCTCCCTCCCCCCAATTTCTGGGCCCAGGAAAGGGGCAAGGGAGGGTGTCTCTATGCCCACCCTTCCCTCTCTCCATCCCTTAAAAATCTATATACACATATACATATTTATATGGCACCACAAGGGGGTCCTGCCTATGTCCCGATACTCAGAAACAGGGAGCCAAGCTCCAGGGCCTTGGGGTAATTAAGGCAGAAGGAAGGGGTCACAGCTTGGGTGACATAAGGAGCAGCCATCAGCCTTGGAGAAGCTGGACTGTGGGGTCCTGAAGGAAAGACCCTTGCTCCCTTCACAAGGGGTAAGAGGTTCTTCCCTCCAGGCCCTCCCCTGCCTACACAGGAACTGGTGGGGGCTCTGTCAGTTCCAAGGGAGGCGTGGGGGTGAGAAGAGACTGGTTCCCCTGGACCAGCCTAGACCTCAGCAACCTGCAGGCCAGTCCAGGCAGGAGCTGATGATGGTAGCCGCGCCCCTGGGAAAGCTGAGTGGGCAAGATGGGGCTCTATGAAAGGCACTTGGTGTCCACTGTTCCCAGGCTGGGGCTCCAAGGTATGGGATGACAGAAATCCTGCCCCCACCCCAAAAGCAGAACTGGGGCTAAGGAGCCCAATTTGGCAGCAGAGAAACATGGCAGCATGAAGAGAGGGGACAGAAAAGGGGAGCAGCAGGCAGGGCCCCCAGGTCCCCTGAAAAGTGGGGAGGAGGTTCGAAGGCACTGACACAGGGAACCAGGGGTTTACAGTCCTCGGTACAGCCTGGCAGGGCTGCTGGGGAAGACACCTGCTTCCCCAGGGCCACCAATGGGCACAGCTCGTGGGTTTTCTTAAGAGCTCTCGGGCAGGTGCCCAGAGTCTCCGTGGGAGGAAGTGTGGGCTTCAGTCAGGGGCAGGTCCAGGCCCCGTGGCACCTCACTAGCTCCCGGGCCTCGGCTGCCTGAGCACTGAGTAGACATCATCCACGCGGCTGAGTTGCTCAAAGAAGGGGAGGAGGTCATGGAGTTCGGTGTCACTCATGTTGTCAAACCACGAGGCCACTGGTACCTGGGGACATGGGAAGACAGGCACAGGTAACCAGGTGCACGAAACAGGAATGGGAGCATCCCCCTCCCACTGGTCCTGGAGACTACCAGGCTTGGGACTGGGCAGGCCAAGACAGACTGAATGGGCTCCTGTCCTTGGGTCTCAGCCCTGTACTCACAGCATTGTCTGGATGGAAGACATAAGAGGCAGGCGAGTTGTCCAGGATGAGCACCCGCCGAAGGTCTCGTCCCAGCCGGCTCAGGTCCTTCACGTAGTTCCCCCGGTGGAAGACGCAGGACTCTCGAAACAGCCGGGCTCGGAAGGCCCCCCATTTGTCCAGCAGATCAGCTACTGGGTCTGCATACTGGAGGGTAGGAGGTAGGTTATCCTAGGGCCAGGAGTGGCCTGGGGCTGTGTCCAGCGACATGTGGCCACCTGAGGCAGCAGATGGGAGTGCATGGTGGCCCCAGGTCCCTGGTGGGAACTCACCTTGGCTAGGCTGGCAGTGAACAGCACACACTCGAAGAGCTCGCCCATTCGCTGCAGGAACTCGTCGACGTGGGGCCGCTTCAGCACATAGACCTAGGGGGTGGGTCTGTGAGGGCGGCTGGCCCAGCTGGGGGAGGTTAGCCTTGGGCCGGGAGGGAATTGTGGAGGAGGCAGAGTAGCCCAGGAGGGCTGGCCCTGGGCCTGTGGGTTCCCACAGCCAGCTGCTCCACCCACCCAGCCTCCCAGAGGAGGACGAAAAGAAGCTTTGGCTCCCACCAGCTGCAGGTCCTGCCTCGTGGGGAGTCATTAATCCTAAGTCCCTTCCCCCAAATTCAGGAGCCTAGGGGTAGCCAGCCCCCTCACCCCAAGGCTGCAGTGCACCGGCCCCCGAGCCAAGTAATGGAGAACAGGCTGGACAGCACACAACCTATCCTGAATTACTTGAACTGGGTCCCGGGCAGGGGTGGGCAAGGGGGCACATACATACAGGACTGAGAAGAGGAACCCACTCTCAGGAGGCCTGGAGTTGGGCCCAGTCCCTGAGGTTCTATGTGATCTTGGGCAAGTCTCCTACCCACTCTGGGCCTCAGACATTCCACATCTATCAAAGTCCCATGTGGGGCTCTCTCCAGTTCAGTGGGCAGCGCTTGGGGTCTGGAGGGAGATGCCAAGCCCATCACCTCCTCCCCGGCCCCTCACCTGGTGGACCACCCCATCAATCTCCACTGGGATGATGAAGTCAGCGTTGTTCACTGGCTGTGGGGGAAAAGAGCTGCTGGAGCTGGGGTGGGGAACCCCAGGGCTGGGGGCCCAGCCGAGCCCTCCCTCCCCGGCCAGGGATGAGGGCTGCTGGGCAGGGCCCACCTTGAAGGAGCTGTGCACCAAGGTCTCGTCCAGGTCGATGACCACGCAGATCTTGTCCGAGTCCTGGGCCTTGGCCTCAGGGAGCAGGTACTGAACTGGGGTCTGCTGGTGGGAGGGGCCGGGCTGGGTGGGGGCACCTCCTACACAGCCTTCCCTACCCTGGCCCTCCACCTGAGAAACAGGAGACAGTGGGACACCCCACCCACTTCCCAACATGGGCCCCGGCAGTTCCCGGGAGGAATGGCCACTGGCTCTCTAAGCCCCTTGGCAAAGCTTCCATCTTCCAGCGGATCTTCTCTTGGTGGGCAGCAGGCAGAGCAAGCTGGGAGGGGCCCAGTGGGGGGCCTATAGGGCTTGGTGTCCAGGTCCCCCCTTCTTTGAAACTTTCAGTGACTGCAGGTGTGTCTCCACCTGGCACCCCTTCCTTTAAGCCCCCTTCCAGCTGAGCCCAGGTGCCCCTGTAGTCATCCCGACCACGTACCTTAGGGATGGCGCCATTCTCCTCCACGAGCAGGGGTGCCCCGCTATGGGCCTGCAGGGCCTCCCCATCATCCCGGCAGACACAGCAGAAGAGTGAGTGGAGGATGCCCCGGCTCCGGGGCTTCTGGGAAGCCGCTGACTTCTGGTCACCTGAAGCAGGGAGGCAGGGAGGCACAGGTTGGGGATGTGGGCACGCTGGGTAGTAAAGTGCTGTGTATGTGTCCAGGTGTGAACCCCTGCTCTGGGAGGATCTGGCCACACCCCCTTCATCAAGGGAGACACTGTTGTGCTCTGGTCCTCCTGAAACACACCCCAGCCTTTGCTCCAAATCCTCTGAGGCTTCCCATGAGGAGGTCTAGGGTGGACAGTCACCCAGGTTAGGGAGGGCGACCTAAAGGAGGGGGAGGGGAGGTTTTCTTTTTCTCAAAACCTCCATCACCTGACTAGGCCTTACCTGAGCATCCCCTGCTTAGGAGGGCCAGGGCCTGGGGCCCCGTTGTCCACTCTCATCCTGCCTCTGTCCAGTCCACTCCATGGGTCCAAAGTCCTCATTGAGGCTGGGCCCAGGGGCAGGGGGTGCAGTCCCAAGGCCTGAGCCAGTGTCCCGCAGCCATCTGTCAACCCCGCCTCCTCGGCCCCTGCCCCGCCCAGACCTGGGACCTGCAGCGCGGCTGGTTGATTGACAGACCCACCCTCCACCGCCCCTCTGTCTGACCCCCGCCCCAGGCCAAGCTAGGCCCAGGCAGGAGGTGGGCAGATCTGGGAGGACCCCCAGCCCCTGCACAGGGAAGAGGAAGAGGGATTCCCAACCTGGCCAGCCCCCGGGGGCGCAGCCTCAGCGAGCAACGCGGCTTTCCCTGCCGGTGCAAGTGTGCACAGGCCCGGTGCCCACGGGCCTAAAGCCCGAGTGTCGCGTGCCTGGCCGGGCACAAGGCTGTGCCTGCGGGCGCCCTCTCCTTGGAAGAAGTGGCCCCTTTCTGTGCCTGAGGGGCTCAGCGCCTCCATGCTTGACGCGGAAGTTTTGTGGGAACGTGGCTGTGTTGGCGGGAGATCCCTCCAAGCTTCCCCAGCCCGCTGTCACCTCGGCGCCCCTTCCCAAGACCCTACGAGACCACAGCCCAGAGGGGGCGGAGTCTCAGCGGGTGGCCTGGAGGCGGCCTCCTAACCCCCCCCCTCCCAGCCCCATTGGCGCCAATCCGTGGGTGGGGGGGGGCGCCCGGGAACCGCCAGCCCGGAAGCCCCCGCAGGAACCTCTGCCTCAGTTTCCCCACCTCGGACAGACTAGAGCTCCCTAGAGGCGCCAGGTCCCACCCCGCGTCCCTGCGACTCCAGGAGTTCAAACTCTCCCCGCTCCCTCTCGGCTAGGAGCTCCGGCCCGGCCAAAGCGGGCGCCCGGGGCGGTGGCAGCGGATGCAGCACCGGGAAAGATCCCGGCCCCTTCCTCCTCCCCTCCCGCGGCGCGCGGGCTGCGGCCCCCTCCCCGCTGCCCCAGTACCTTTGCCCCGCAGCGGGCCCCGCGCCTCCTCCTTGCTGATCTGAGTAATGACGGCCGAGCTGTCCATGGGGCCGGGCGCGCTCCGCTCCGGCCGGACTCTGGCCCGGGTGCCCGGCCTCCCCCCCGGCTCGGGCCGGAATCGGGGCGCGGGGGGGAGGGGAGGGGTGGGAGGGAGGGATCCCCGCGAGCTTTGGAGGGGAGGGGAGCCAGGTTCTAAGGGGGAGGGGGAGGGAGGGGGCGCGGAGGAAACTTTGTTACAACATGGAGTTTCCTCCCCGCGAGGCGGATGCAAACATGGAACCCGGGCGCTGTTTCAAGGCTCCCCCTTAAAAGGGCAACGGCTTCGGCGTGACCTGGACTCGGCCGCGGCTTTCATCACTTCTGGGGCCCTCACGGCTCCGCCGGCGGGGAGGCGGGCCGGGCCGGGTTCCTGCCGCGATCCGGGGGGCGTCCCCTCCCTTCCTGCCGCTGGCTGGCGGGACAGAGCCTCTGCGGCTGCGTGGCACAGCCAGCACCCGGCCCACGGTGCCAGGCCTCCGAGTGCCCGGAGCCAAGGCCCGCCCCGCCCGCTCCGAGTGCCCGAGGGCGGCGCGGTTCCACCCTGTGCTCCTACGAGGGCCAGGGGCTTGCCACTCCTCGGTTTGCTCATCTGGAAAATGGGATAACACTAACTTATCTGTTAAATGGGTCTTCTTTTCTGTCTGACGTTAGCAGGAACCTCCTTGCAGAGATGTCAGGAAGGAGCACTTGAAATCTCTTTGCTAACCCCGAACAGCTGTGCAAATCCACAAAATTATGTTCTGGATTTGACTCTGTCACCACCCACCGCGGTCTCGGGGGCGAGGAGATCGGGTCCGGAGAGTGAAAATTCCAACTTCCTTCCCCCGGGGACGCTCTCTGCCGACCTTTTCCGACTGCTCAACTTATGTCCCGCACCCTACCAGCTTCGCCTTCCCGCCTGGAGGCGCTCTCCCCTCCTCCCGCTTCGCCCACCGACCTAGAGAAAATGCCACCGTGTCCATGGGCCTTGCCTGATCCCCTTCCCCAGCCGACGGCCATTCTTATTATTGGAGGGTGCGGATTCCTGGGACAGGCTCGGTTCCCAAGTGTCCAGCCTGACGCCCCGTGCACAGTGCACTCCGCGCGGGACCGCGGGGACTCAGACATCACAGTTACAGGCGTTTAAACACACTGTCCCCGCCTCTGTGGGGACACACCCCAGCCACGCGGGTTCTTGCGGGAAACCTCCGTGCGCGCCAAGAGGTGTGCGGGTCCTTTTTTCCCCGGTTACTAAGTTCCTCCCATCCCTAGTTACTATTCGGTGTTCGCAATTTAAAAAATAACCCGAGCCTTGACAACACGCCTCGGCACTTCCTTCCCTGCCCCGGCCTCGGCGGCGGGCGGGGCGGGCCGGGGCGGGGCGGGCGCGTCCTGTCCTGTCCGGGCCGGGAGCGCGCGCAGCGCACGTCCGCCAGGGCCGACGAGGGGGAGCCAGGAGGGGAGCGCGCGGGCGGGGACTCTGGGGGACCGAGGCCCGCCCGCTGCCGGACCCCGTTCTTCCTCCGCTTCCTAATCTCTGGTGTCCTCAGAACCAACCCCTTCGTGTCCCATTGACAGATAAGGAAACTGAACTCAGAAGTGAAGCCATCGGCTCAGGCCCTCCAGCTTGGGCAGGGGCGGAACTGTGGCCTCTCAGCCCAGCGCCTCTCCTCGGTCCAGCCCGGGGGTGGCGTCTCAATACCTCCGGATGCTCGCCCGCGCTGACCCCAGAAGGAAGTGGCCAGGGACTGTAAAGGGGGCTGGAACTGAACTGGCTGTCCCAGAGATACACAAAACCAGGCGTGGCTGGCCGCTGTCCCCTCACCCGCCATTCGCAAACCGAGATCCTACCCCCAGCACACATCCCTAACTGCCCCCCCCCCCCCCCCCCGCCAAGCCTTTGCTGGTGCGGTCTCTCACCAGGGGAGACACCGCCCCGGCAGGCGCACCTTGGTCCGAAGCCTCTGGCTCTCTCCCCACATTGGCGAAGGTGGGTAGGGTGGTACACGCGCCCTCCCCGCCCCAGCCCACCAACTGCTGCACCCCTCTACCCCAGCAGCCGGTCATCACTGTACCCATACATTTATTTGGATCTCTTTTTATCAGTTTGCATTCCCAGAAAGGACAGTCGTGGGGGCTGCCAGTCGGGGTGGGCGGTGCGTGCATGGGGTGGCACAGAACTAAGCAGAATTCAGTTTTGCAATTAAGAGCAAATGTCCTCTCCATCCCCGGCCAAGTGGGGATGGGGGCAGTGCCAAGGGTAGGGTAGGGCAGGGCTCCTGGGAAGAGTCTAGGTGCAGGGCCACTCCCATTCCCAGGGTGTGACAGCCTTCCTCCCTCTGGGGATGGAACTCAGAGCTACTATGGAGGTGAGGGCAGCCCCGAACAGGAGCCTCCTTGTCCCCAAATCGACTTTGTCCTGCCCTCATCACTAGCCCCCTATGCTAGGCCCAGGGTCGCCCCTTGGTTGGCCCTCTGCTGTCTTCTTTGACCCCAAGTTCTAAGTCCTAGGCTTAAATGTTCATGTGACTAATCCATGCGTCCTTTTGTCCACCCCCTCCCCAAGTCCTGCTCCACAGATCTGAGAACTCCCTAGAGGGGTTCCTGTCTGCACTTACTGCACACACCAGAACCCTACTCCTGGCACACACCCCCTCCCTGGACTGCCCCGCTTCCTATCCAACTTTCAAAATTCTGTACAAAAGTCACCTTCTCTGCCCCTGGGCTCTCTAAGTTAGGGTCAGGTGCCTTTCACCTCATCCTGTTATTCAGTGGCTTGTCCTTTATTTACTTAGCTGTCTCCTGGAGTGTGCGCGCTCCTGGATAGCTGACACCTTCTCTAATTCGGAACTCTCCCTTCCCGCCTCTAGCACAAGGTCTGGCACAGAATTGGCACCCAGTTAATGCCAAATGAATTGGCCACAGGAATGGGCAGCGGGTACCGCTAGGAAGCTGCAGAAGGATATGGGAGATGCTTTTCTTCACCACCCACCCGCCCCATTCTTCAGCTCTAGGGTCCTGTGTTGTCCAAGGACAAGCCTGGAGAAGGGGGATGGGCGATCCTCTTGCCCTACACCTTCTCGGGCAGCTGCTCTGCTTTCTCCAAGACGCGTCACCTCCCTTCTCTCCTTGCGGGCCCCACTCTAATCATTGCCCTTTTAAGAAAGAGGAAATTCTTCTCATAAACAAGCGCCCCAACCTGAGCGCCAAGCCGGCCGCCGGACCCGCTGGGTCCCCGGGAAATCCGGGTTACTTTCAGACACCGCATCTGCCCCAGGCTCAACTTAGGGATAAGGTGCGGCGACCCCTCCTCGCTGCAGTTCTTCGCAACTCCGGGGCTGAGGTCCGATGGACTGGCGGAGCCTGGAGGAGGGACTTAGGGGAGCCTAGAAACATCCTAGGGAGCGTCTGTAAAGTGCAGCCTCTGCACCGGGCGAAGGGGTGCCCGGTTCCTTCCTGCAGCTGAGGGGGTTCCCCGCCACCTCCTGGCCGGGGATCATTCTGTGGCCCCCAGGCGCGAGATTCTGGCACCAGCCTACCCTGATGGTGCCGCTTGGCCCGGAGCGGAGACGCCGAGGCGGGAGTGCGGGAGTGCGGGCGCTCGGGACTGTCCCTGCCCCTAGGGGGAGCTGGGAGTCAGCACGGAGGGAATGTTAAAGTGCCGCGTGGGAGTCCAGTCCGCCCGGTTCCCTGGGGAGATGACAAATGAATTGGGACTGGAAGGCACGGGCTCTTGGGTTCCTTAAGACTGGAGCCTGAAGGAACAAGAATTGGGCCTTGGTTTTACTGCCTGGAATACGGGTTGCAAGCGCAGAGCAGGAGCGAACCAGATGGGAAGGGGTCAGACTTGGGGTCTTCCGGGTTTGCGGTCCCAGCTCTTGGGAAGAGGAGGGAATGTTTGTTTAACATTCATCAAACTGTTCTAAGTGCCAGTTTGGAGCCTGTGTCCCTTTCCGTCTTTCCCCTCCCCTCATGGGTCAAGTCACTCATATGTGCTCAGTAAATTTTTTTTGAATGATTTTTAAAAGTTCCATGTGCCAGGCACTGCGATAAAGTGCTTTATACCCAAGGCAGGGTTGGTGTTGTCCCCATTTTACAGATGAGGACACAGACCAAGAGATTAAGCCTTTGTTCAAATTAGGAGACAGTAAGTCCCTAAGGACCACCTTTGGATGACTTGCAAGAGTGTCTGGCTCCATCTTGCTGCCTTCGTGTCCACGCCCATCTGTGTCCAGGGGCTAGTCTGCCCCTTCATCCCATCTCCCAGCCAGGGCCTGGGGGGTCTCATCCAGAGCTTTCCCGACCGGCCTGCCTGTCTTCTAGGAGCCCATACAGGAAGTGCTGGTGGGAGCTGTGGGTCAGAAAGGTGGCCCCATGGGCAATGCAACAGGTCCAGACCTGGGAGAGGGTGACCACAGGGACAGTCAGCCTGGGAGTGGGGGAGAGGCTGAGACCCCAGGGGGGCCCACCTGGTGGCCCCCTCCCATTCTTCTCTCCACTTGCCTCCCCGACCCATTCCAGAAAGCCCCACCCCACAGCCCCTGCATACCAGGTAGGCAGTGAGGGCCAGATAGCCCGCGGCCAGCAGAGCCACAAGGCCAAAGTAGGCTGGGTGGGGCAGGCTGGACACATAGCTGACCACAAAGTAGAGGTTGATGGCGCAGATCAGTGCTATGATGCTGGAGGTGATAGCTTTGCTCAGCCTAGGGGACAAGCAGGAAGCTCAGGACTGGCTGGATATAGCTAGAGACCTGCATCCGCCCCTCGTCCAGTGCCCACTGCTAGCTTGGAGCTGGGAGCTGGTACACAAAGCCCTCTTCTCTGAGCTGCGGGGCCTGGTACACACAGAGCCTTGCCCACTTCTGGTCTCCAGGCCCCCCAGCTCCACACTGGCAGGATCTGGCAAGAGGTGAGGTGAGGGTAACCTCAGGCTCTAGAAACAGCCCTCACCCCCACTGGTTTCCCCCACCCACTTACTAGCTGTGTGACTCTGGGAAAGTTCCTCAATCTCTCTGAGCTTCAATTGGACTTGGGGATAACAATAGTTCCTGCCTCTGGGTGATGAATACATGGGATGGGAGGACTCACCGGCCATTGGCAAACTCCTGCATGACAGCGGGCATGCTGGTGAACGTTAGGATGGGCAGCACAGCAAAGGGAAGCTGTGGAGAGAGGCGGGAGCTGAGGCCAGGGACCCTGCCTTCAGAACAGCAGGGGATGGGGAGGCCCCGCACCTCAACCTCTGTCTTGTGGCCAGCCTTTGGGCAAGTCCCCTAACTCCTCTGAGCCTGTCTCTGTGCCTTTCAAAGCAGGAGAAAGTATGTGGGGGCTGGGGGCTCTGGCACAGGCTGCCTGCGTTTGAATTTTGGCTCTGTCACCTAACTCTGCTGGTCAGTTTCCCCATCTGTGAAACGGGAACAACAGTGACTCGGATTTGGTGAGCCTTGTAGGCCAAGTGCATTCAGGGTAGCGCCTGAGTGGGCTCCATGTGGGGTGGCCGCGGTTCCTGCTGGGCCCTCATCTCACCAGCAGGCTCTGCAGCACGTTGAGCAGGTCGTTGAGGCCTGACAGGTCCCTCAGGTCCCGGAAGATGGCGACGAGCACGGTGGGCAGGATGGCGCAGGAGCGGGTGAGGAGCACCCGGGCAAAGCGGGACCACCGCAGCCTCAGGAAGCCCTGGGGTGGGGAGCGAGCGGGGGTGTGGGTGGGCCTGGGGCTTCACACTGGGAGAACACGGGCTTTCCATCTTTGAAATAGGGACAGCTCTGTCCCCCTTTGGTGGAGAGGCAGTGGGTGGAGAGAGCGGGGGTCCCCACCTGTCCCTGATTCCTAAAGACTTTCAAGGGGCTTTCGGGAGAGGGCGCTGTTTGTCCTGCCTCTGCGACTTCCAGCGAGTGGCCTCAATTCTCTGAAGCTCACTTTTCTCATCTCTAAAGTGGGACTACGGTGGCGCCCCGGGGGCTGCTCCAAGGACCAGCAAGGCCGTGTATCCGAGGCCCCACTAGTGTCCAGGGCCCCCCGCCTCCCGCCCACCTCCATCACGAACTGTCCCGCGTAGGTGCCGGTCATGGTGGAGCTCTGCCCGGCCGCCAGGAGACCCACGGCCCAGATGTAGAGCGCCGCGGGGCCGAAGAGGCACCCCAGGATCACGCCCTGGAGCGAGGGGCGGGGTCAGAGCTTCGGCCCCACCCCGTGGGCGGGGACAGGCGGGGCCCGCTCGCGCCCACCTCCCCACTCGCCGGCGCTTACTCCTTGGTAAATGTCCACCGACACCGTGTCGTTGTTCCTGGGGAAGATCGAGGCGTAGTCGTGGAGGCTGCTGTTGGCACAGACGCTGTACTGCGGCACCGGGCCGGGGGGCGAGATGGGGGGCCCAGACTTAGTCTTGGAAAGTCAGACCCCAGGCCTGGGCCGAGGCCAGCAGCTGGTGGTCTGCACACCGAATCTGGCCAGATTGTGGCTGTCACGGCTTTTTGCCCCCCCCCCCCTTTAATGTGAATTCGTTGCCTGTGTTTAAAGTTGGGAAGGATGCCCATGGGACTCGGTTTCCAGCCTCAGAGGAGCTGGCACTACCCAGAAAATCCCGGGGACCTGCAGTCCCCTCTTCCTCACATGGGAACCCCTTCCCACAGCTCTGAGGGCTGACCCCGGAGACCTCTGACCTTGGAGACGCAGTCTGCAGTCCCTATTTAGTCCCTCTCTCCTGGCGCCAAGGAACAGGGTGAAACCCGGGGAGGGTGTGACCCCCCCCCCCCCCCCCCCGATCATGATCGATTGGCTGAGTGGATGGTGGACAGCGTGAGGAGAGGGGACCCGGAGCCCGGAGTAGGGGCAGAGGCTCAGAAGGCACGGCTGGCCGCGGTGCCTGGCGTCCCCCTGGAGGGCCAGTGTGTGAGGTGCGCCGACAGGGAGAGCCGGCTCACCGCGTCCTGGTTGGTCTTCTGGAAGAAGGCCTGCCCAAAGACAGCCATGACGAAGAGGTTGATGATCAAGGAGACGGAGAGGGCGATGGTGGCCTCGATCAGGAAGTACATGTTGGCTTCTCGGATTTCCGCCCGGCGGGCACGGTCCACCTCTCGGGACTATGAAGATCAAAGGGAGAGGGAAGAGCCAAAGTCCTCAGAGTCACACCAGTGTCCCCTGCCTTCCCACTTGCACCTCTGTTCCCTCTAAACCCCAGGTCTTCTGAAGACCCCATGTGGCAATCTGGTTCAGAACCTGGTCAGCTGCCTCCTTCCTATATGCTTGTCCTTGCCAGAGGCCGCTCCACAGTGACTGGCTATGAGAATAAAGGAAGACGGGCCTTTGAGATCCCCATGTAAATCAGTCTGACACCGTCCCTTTCACTCACCGTGTTACATCCTTAAACACTTGCTTTATTTCTGCCTCAGGGCCTTTGCACTCGCTCTTCCCTCTGCTTGCAATAGCTTCTCCCTGTCTTTGGTCACTGTCTACCAGACTTCTCTTCTGTTTCCTTCAGAGGACCTTTCACAGTCCACAGTCCCTTCCTTTGTTTGCTTGATCCTTGCCCGTCTCCCCTCCTAGAATACAGGCTCTGGAAAGGCAGGGCCTTGACTAACGTTGACCCTTAGCTCTCTGCACACAGCAGATGCTCCTTTTTAAAAAAAATTTATTAAAAATTTTTTAAAAATTTAATTAATTTTTTGTAGTTGTAGATGGACAGAATGCCTTTGCTTTATTTGTCTATTTTAATGTGGTGCTGAGGATCGAACCCAGTGCCTCACACGGGCTAGGCAAGCGCTCTGCCGCTGAGCCCCTGCCCCAGCAGATGTTGCTCCTTTTAAAATAGAGACTGAGCCTTTCCCGGCTCAGACCGTGAAGGAGCCGGGGGGCGGGGTTCCAGGCTGGGGGGCGGGGCCAGTGCGGCTTCAGGAGGCCTGTCTTCCTCCATCCCTCCCTCCCTCCAGTCACCTTGACCAAGGCTGAGTGCAGGTAAATATTGTGGGGCATGATGATGGCGCCCACGATGCCCACAGCCTGCAGCAGCTCTGAATGGCCGCAGCCCGGGCACGAGGGCAGGAACAGGTCTCGAAGAAGCAGTCCCTGCGCCGGCCGAGCCACCACGTACTGTGGGGAGGAGAGGGTCAGCCACTAAAGCTGGGACACCCGCCTCTCCCCCCAGCCCAGCACCTGGGGGCTTGTCCTAGGGCGCTTCCTCCACCCCTGGGCCTGGCTTCCTACCTCGTAGCCGAAAGTCAAGGCCATGATGGTGATCAGGAATCCAAAAAAAGCTTCCAGCTTCCGCAACCCTAGGGGCAGAGCAAACCAACCAACCAGAATCCCCTGCAACACCGCAATTTTAATGGCTGAAATTTTGAGCACTTTGTTCCCGCGCTGTGCCAAGGCTTAAGGTGTTGTACCCACGTGAGCCACTGTTTCCCACGTTGCAGATGGAAAAACAGCTGGGCCGCCAGGACGCCCAGGGGGGAGTCAGCCCCGCCCAGCGCAGCCGGCCCCAGGCTCAGCGCCCAGCCTCCCACCTGGGCCAGGAGCGCTCACTCACCATAGTTATCCAGGAAGAGGAAGAAGAAGGTGTCCACAATGGTGATCAGGACGCCACCCCAGAGCGGGATTCTGAAACCACAGTGGCCCGGGTCAGCCCAGCCTGGTCCAGCGTCTCGCACTACCGTCCTCAGCGCACAGACGGTGGGACCAGGCCTCCGGGGTGCAGGAGCCCAAGCGAGGACAGCGGGCAGGGAGGAGGGAAGCCCTGAGAGTCAACCCAACACTCCAGGCCCAGCGAAGCCCGCAGGGGGCCAGGAAGGCAGGAGGCTCAGAGCCATAGTCCTACATAGAGCTCCCTAAGTCACATCTGTGGGACTTTACAGAGGTCACTTTACATTCTGAGAAATGGAGCAGCAGCCCCATGTCAGAGGGGACAGCAAGATAAAACGGAGTCCAGGAGGTACATGGTCTGGGAAAGAAATAGCAGCTCTCCCCAGCCCTGGACTGAAGGGTGGGTGCCCACGGGGAGGTACCGTCCAGCTGAGAGCAGGTTGAAAGCAATGGCTGTGCCGATGACCTCCTGCATGTCGGAGCCCACGATGGCGAGCTCGATGGTCAGCCAGAGGAGGGTGCGGGGCACCTAGAAGAGGAGCCGATCCTTCATCAAGGTCCTTCATCAAAGCGGGTCAGGCACTTGCCTGCAGTTTCAGTCTCACGCCCACCTTTCCTTCCCTGTACTGTGCTGCGGGGCTAGCAGCCTGCAGACCACCCTCCCCAGGCAGCCTTGCCAGGCTTTGGAAGCGGTGCTTATGCAGGATGGCGGTGTTTTGGATTCGGCTTCTGTGTGTCCCCCCAAGATGCATGTGGTGCAAGCTTGGTTCCCTGGCAGCAATGTTGAGAGGTGGTAGAAATTTTAAGAGGTGGGGCCTAATTGGACTTGGTGGTGCACCTTGTAATCCCAGGGGTTCAGGAGGCTGAGGCAGGAGGATTGCAAGTTCAAGGCCAATCTCAGCAATTTAGGGAGGCCCTAAGCAACTTAGCAAGACTCTGCCTCAAAATAAAAAGGGCCTGGGAAGAGGCTTAGTAGTTAGGTGCCCCTGAGTTCAATCCCAGAACTAAAAACAAAACAAAACAAAAAAAAAAAGAGATGGGACCTAGAGGAAGGTAGGGAGGTGATTGAGGTGTTGCCCCCAGAAAGGATTCATGTAATTCTCATGGGACCTTAGTTAGTTCCCAAGAGTGTGAATTGTTACAAAAGAGCAAGCCTGGCCCCTGAATGGCTCTGACTTCCTGTCTCACCATGGCTTCCTGTCTGGCCATGACATCCCTTCTTCCTGTGTTCCTGCCATTGTGACGCCATGTGCCACTAGAGTCAAGCAGAATCAGCGCCACACTCTTGGATCTCCAGAACTTGAGCTATATAAACCTGTTTTCTTCACAATAGACCCAACCTCAGTTATTTTGTTATTGCAGTGACAAATAAACTAAGAGATTGGGCAGAGAGAAATCATTTTCCCTGATTCTGGTGGTGTTTCTGGCGGGGTCACTAGCAAGGACACCAGCTAACTGAGCTCCAGCCACACTTGTGGTCATTTAAGCAGTGGCCACAATGCTTCTGGAAACTTAGTGGCAAATGATGACTCTTGGGCTCATGCCAGGAGTATGTCAGTTTTCTGAGCTTTGGTGAAACCTTTTGCCTTTGCTCCTCCAGCCCTTCAAACTGAGTGCCTGCACTGAATCCCTTGGAAATGTCTCATGGTATAATTTCTGTTTTCCTGCCTGGACATGGACAGCAGTGACCTTCCTTGAGCTGATGCCTTTCAGTTTCTGCCTTGGGCAATCACATCCCCAGGTTCTAATTTCCCTTTCTGTAAAACACGTGTTTCACCCCGATGCCCCACGATTCTGGGTGCTGTTTGTTTGAGCCTCAGTCTTCTCATCTGTCAACTAGGCTTGCTTGCCGCACTTGGGTGAGACGATGTACAACTTTCATTTGATCATGGAAGCTGTAAGTAGCTGCTCAGGGTTCGAAATCTGTGGGTGCTTCTGACCAGGCCCCCTACACTTACCTTAGGGTAGTAGAGGTGGCAGACCTCGCCCAAGTCCTTGCCCGTCACCACGCCTAGCCGGGCAGCCAGTCTCTGGCACAGCAGGCCCAGCACGGTGGCCCAGAGCAGCACCCAGAGCAGCTGTGAGGAGGCAGGGAGAGCTTCAGCCAGGGGGGCTGTCCTGGAAGGCTGCAGGCTGGGGACACCTAACCCAGGACACCCCATGGGGAGAGGCAGGAAGACGGAGCAGGAACCAGCTTCGCAGGCTGCCCTGGGGGACCCCTTCCTGTCCCATTTGAACCAGGAAGACCATCTCCCTGGCAGCCCTGAGGGCCCCTGGCAAGCTGAGGGTTCTGCTCTCAGCCTGGTCACCTCCCACCCCACTGAGGCCCCGACTTGGTCACTTTGAATCCAGCCACGGCGCCAGCCTGCAGATCCGATTCGATGTTTCCCGGGTCCAGGAAGGCGATGCTCATGAGGAAGCCAGGGCCCGTGAATGCCCACAGTCTCCGGAGGCTGAAGGTGCCCTGGTGGGGGAGCAGAGGGAGGAGGGCCTGGGAACGGGGGTGGCAGCAGCTGCCTTGGCCGGCCCCTCCATCCAGGCTCCATTGCCTGTCCCCAGAGCTGCCCGGTCCCCAGACATGGCAGGGGACACGTGTGGAGGAACCGGCAGGGTTTGCTGAGTCACGGAGGATCTGCTTTCTGAATTGGTCACGGTCACTGTCACGTTCCTCAGTCTCAGCAGCATCCTGCACTTGACTTGCCCACCTCTTGCCGGCTTGACTCAGTAGGTCCTCGGGCTCCAAGAGGGGAGCACTCTGGGGGTCAAGCCGCCCTGGTCCAGTTCCTCGCTCCCTAACCCTCTCAGACCACAGGGGTCTCTCTGGGGTCCACTGAGGCTGGGGTCCCCCACCCCATTCCAGGGCTTGGCCTGTCAGTCAGACTAGAAATCTGCTAGATTCTTGTGACAGCTTCTTTGGAAGCTAAAACAAACCTGGAGGCATCAGTCCTAATTCACCCGGGACCCTTTCCCTTCCTAGAAAGCTGAGGTTCATTCAGAAATGGCTTCATTCAGAAAGCCGTTTGGTCATTTTTAGACAACCATGGCGTTTTCCAGCTAAGGAAGGGGCAGTTCCACTGTCGCTGCTGACTTGGGATCCTATCAACCCTGGAAGCCCCCAGGAAGTTCCAGAAGGCCCACCGGTTTCGCGTCTGGGATGGGAATCTTCTCACTCAGGTAGGTCTCCCTGGGAGGCGCTTGTTGGGGCCCTGGGCCAGGAGGGCTGGAGATGGAGCCATAGCTGGGCCTGCTCAGCCCCCAGGGCCTCCCGTCACCTGTGAGGAGCCCAGGAGGCAAATTGAGTGTCCTGCCTCTTTCTAGAGCCCGGACTTCAAGCCATTGCCTCCTCCCTCTCCTCTTCTTGGCAAAGTAGAGAAATGAAAGTCCTTCTTGGCCTTCATCTTGGGTCCCTCACCTTCACCCCTTGACCTGATATTTCAGATGTGTGGGAACTGGAAGTTTCAGAATTACTTTCCCAGAATTCCCCACACTCTGATCTCAGAGGTGTGAGAGAGACACCAGACTCCAGGAAGGGCAAGTTGAGGCCACCATGTCCTCCAGCCTTGCCTCCTCCCAGAGACGAGGAAACTCAGGGGTCCTGTCTACAGAGACCAGACATGGGAATAACAGGCCCTTCAAGGGGGAAGATCTCAACCCCAGCGGGTCTGGGTCAGAACTGTGGTCCTGGCCACGACTCCCCTGGGGGACCAGGGGCTTCCTTGGCTTCTCAGACCTCCCCCAGACCTAGTGTCCTTCTCCACCCTGCCCTCCTAATCAGGGGAGCCCCTGGAGGCCACTACTCACTCGTCATGAGGACACAGGCGTCCGGTGCGTGGTGAGTTCAGGGTTGTGCCGGGCACCCCTCAGCCTGCACCCGCTCTGTGCGGCTGGTGCGAGTGACTTTGGGAACACACCCTCCTGCCCATCACCCTGGCTCCGTCTCTTACATCACTGGATGCGGACACTCACATACTCACACGCTTGGGCGTTGTGAAACTCTCCAAAGGCAGAAGTGGCCTGCTCAGCGGAAGGGTCTGGTCACCCACAACATGGTTCCTCTCTCGGATGCCCTATGTCCTTCAACATCTCTGGCTCCCCTCCAGGCTCCCCATGTTCTGTCTCCCAAATGAACTCTGATTTCAGGCACTTCCTGATTAGCAGGTTGGAACTTTGATCTCCCTCATTTCCAGGGAGGGGAGAGGGTTGAGGAGAGTTCCATAACCAGGGGCCCTGCTTCAGTCACACGCCTGCACAAGGGCGCCTCTTGGAGATGCTCAGCTATGGGCTTCAGGGGGATTCTGGCTTGGTGAACACACTGGGTGCTAAGTGAACCACATCTGAGGGGCAAGAGAAGCTCCATGCACCGCCCCCGCCCCCCAATAACCTTGCTCTGTGTGTTCCTCCTATTCGGTTGTCCCTGGGTAAATCCTTTATGATAAACCTATAATATTAAGTAGGGTTTTCCTGAGTTCTGTGAGTCACAAATTATCAAAACTAAGGGTTGTGGGAACCTCCAGTTTGCAGCCAACTTGGAAAGAGGCATGTATAACTTAGGGACCCGCTACTTACACTTGGCATCTAAAGAAGGAGGCCAGACTGGTGGGACCGTCCAACTTGTGGGGCTTGTGTTAACTCCAGGTAGTTAGGGTCAGAGTTGAGTTACATGGGAGAACACCCCACGTGGTGTCAGAAGTGTGGAGAGGAAGGAAACAAAGTGACCCTCTCTCAGAGATTTTTAGGCCCAGAGTTGATCTAGAATAGGATTTACTCCCATATTGAGTCCAAACCTTTAGATGATGCCTGGGAACCCAGGGTGAGAGTGGGGAGCCAATTTCCTGGCATCTCAATGACGGGGCAGGCTAGAGGAACTGGAGAGACGGCAGTGTGGGGACAGGGGAGAGGAATGGGTCCAGGGGACACGGCACCCTCATGGCTTGTCACCACGCAATCCTATTGCACAAGGTACCACATCATCCTGGCCCCTGAGGTCTGCACACATTTCCCAATCACCAACCTGGGCTCCTGTGGGCTTGGCGGGCTGGGACTGGGAGACTTCCTGTCTGCGTATTTGGTGGTGGGGGGGCGGCTTTCCAACAGCTAGAGGAACTCAGTAAATGTAACTGATCATCCATTGATCAGTGTCCCTCACAACCTCTAAGTTACAGAACAGGGCGTCTGTGCCATGGTCAAGAGCAGAGATCCTGGGCAGAGACTCAGAGAGCAGAAGTTCTAGAAGAGCGGCAGAAATCTACAGAGATGTCCCCAGAATCTGGGGGTGGTGCCGAATGTCAACCCCTGCCCAGTTCAGGTGAAATTTCATAATTCTCAGTTCACTCAAAATGGGTCACAGACTTAAATGTCAGTATGCAACTATCAGAGTTTTAAGAAAAGAAGCAGGAGAAATGTTTCAGATCTAGAACCAAATGAGGGCTTCCTGGACTTGATCACCAAAAAGCCTGATCCATGAGGGGAAAACAGATGAATTGAACCTCAGATAAAAATTAAAGACTGGGCTGGGGATGTGGCTCAAGCGGTAGCGCGCTCGCCTGGCATGCGTGCGGCCCAGGTTCGATCCTCAGCACCACATACAAAACAGAGATGTTGTGTCCGCCGATAACTAAAAAATAAATATTAAAAAAAAAATTAAAGACATTTTCAAATTAAAACCTTTTATTTCAAATTGAAATCTTCTGTTCAATGAGAGACCCTGTTAAAATGATTAAAAGACAAGATAAAGCTGGGCGTGGTGGGGCACACCTGTAATCCCAGCGGCTCTGGAGGCTGAGGCAGGAGGATCTCGAGGTCAAAGCCAGCCTCAGCAATTTAGCAAGACCCTAACAACTCAGCAAGGCCCTGTCTCTACATGATATATAATAAAGGGCTGGGGATGCGGCTTAGTGGTTAAGTGCCCCTGGGTTAAACCCCTGGTACAAAGAAAAACAAAACAAAACAAGGAGATAAAGATTTGTAGATAATGTCTGCAAATCACAGGGCAAGGGACTATTATCACAGTAGATAAAAATCTCTTAGAACTTAACTCTCAGGATCTGATCCAGGAGTAGAAGAGGGGTGTGCTGGAGCAGCCCCCGCTCCCGCCCCCGGAGGCACTGAGGGGCCTCGGCAAATGGCTTTCTTGCTGGCCACTTGCGGAGTGAGTAGACCCTTTGGGGGTTTGGATTCAGGATTTGTTCCTTGTGTCCAAGACTTTGACAAGAAACTAACAGAGGCAGATGCTGACCTACAAATCTTGATAGAACAACTAACGCTTTTAGATGACAAGCTTCAAAACTGCACAGATGATGAACAGAGAACGAAAATTGAAACTCTCAAAGAAACAACAAAGAGCAAGGAAGAGTCTATTAAACACTGCATTGTGTTGCTGCAGATCGCTAAAGACCAGGGTAACGCCGAGAAGCACGCAGATGGAATTATCAGTGCTGTTAATCCTGTGGATGCAATATGTCAACCCAGTTCCTGGGAACCTGTAGCAGCACGGTGCCATCCCAGACTGTCTTACCTCCAGAACCAGCTCAGCATCCGTCTTCCTTACCCGTGGGACCTGGGTTAGCTACCTTGGGACATCATCAGACTCCAACACCAGATAGCACAGGCAGTGGGCATTCACCACCTAGTAGCAGTCTGACTTCTCCAAGTCATGTCACCTTGTCTCCAAACACAGTCCCAGAGTTCTCTTACTCTAGCAGTGAAGAGGAATTCTATGAGGCCGATGGATTCCATGGGGTGGCTCATCCCCAAAGTGCTTAATAGATTCTTCTGGTTCTGCCTCCGTCTTGACACACAGCAGTTCGGGAAATAGTCTACAGCCCCAGATACCACAGAATCACTGAATTCTTCATGTCCAATGGTACAAGTGGTGCTGATCTTTTTGATTCACAGGACGATAGAGACGGTGACGGGGAGGCAGCAGGGTCAGTGTTATCATGCACCTCTCGTCACAGGTTAGGCTCCGAATGGATCTTCCTCAGGTAGTTCTTCCAACATTTATTCTTGAAAGAAGATCTCTTTTAGAAATGTACGCAGACTCTTTTGCACATCCGGACCTGGTGGTGAGCATTCGTGACCAGAAAGATCCCAGGGATCGAACGGTTCAGGTTGTGAAATGGTACCTCTCCACCTTTCATGCAGGAAGGAAAGGATCGGTTGCCAAAAAGCCATACAACCCCATTTTGGGTGAGATCTTTCAGTGTCACTGGACATTACCAAATGACACTGAAGAGAACACGGAGCTAGTTTCAGAAGGACCCGTTCCCTGGGTTTCCAAAAGCAGTGTAATATCCGCGGCTGTGCAGGTTTCCATCATCCACCCTTTTCAGCCTTTTATGCTGAATATTTTAACAAGAAAATCCAATTCAATGCTCAGATCTGGACTAAATCAACATTCCTTGGGGTGTCCATTGGGGTGCACAACATAGGGCGAGGCTGGGTCTCATGGCTAGACTATGATGAGCATTACATTCTCACATCCTCCAATGGTTAAGGAAGGTCTACGCTCACAGTGCCCTGCGTGGAACTAGGAGGAGATGCAATATTAATTGTTCCCAAACTGGCTATAGTGCAAATATCGTCGTCCACACTAAACCTTTCTATGGAGGCAAGAAACACAGAATTACTGCTGAGATTTTTTTTCTCCAAATGACAAGAAGTCTTTTTGCTCAATTGGAAGGGGGAATGGAACAGTGTCATGTATGCAAAATACGCAACCAAGGAAATGCGGTCTTTGTAGATACCAAGAAGTTGCCTGTAATCGAGAAGAAAGTGAGGAAGTTGGAAGATCAGAATGAATATGAGTCCCGCTGCCTTTGGAAGGATGTCACTTTCGGTTTAAAAAACAGAGACGTGGATGCAGCAACTGAAGCAAAGCACAGACTTGAAGAAAGACGAAGAGCAGGAGCCGGAGGAAGGAAGGAGAAGGAAACTCAGGGGGAGACAAGGTTCTTCTGTGAAGATGGAGGAGGCTGGGTTTGTGATGAGCCATTACTGAATCGTCTTGGTGCTGCGAGGCAGTAGGCTGGGACACGGGTCTGCACCCGGTGACAGGGCGGGTCGTAGAGCGCTTGCCTAGCATGTGTGAGGCACTCGGTTTGATCCTCGGCATCACATCAAAATAAAAGGTTATTGGTCCACCAACAACTAAAAAAAAAAAAAACAAAAAAAAAAAACCCAAATATTTTTTAAAAATTCCAACAGAAGTGAGCAAAAATCATGAGCAGGGGCTGGGGTTGTGGTTCAGTGGTAGAGGGCCACATACAAGGGCTTGCCTTGTATGTTCAATCCTCAGCACCACATACAAACAAATAAATAAATAATTTTTTAAAAATCATGAACAGTCACTTCACCAAAGAGGATGTACAGATGGCAAAAAAAAATACATGAAAAGATGTTCAACATTATCATTCCTTAGGGAAATGCAAATTAAAATCATGACCAACCAGGTCAGGTGGGACACTCCTGTTAATCCTTGCTACTCATGAGACTGAGGCAGGAGTACCACAAGTTCAAGGCCAACTTGGGCAACTTGGCAAGATCCTGCCTCTAAAATAAATTTAAGGGGCTGGGGATGTGGCTCAAGCGGTAGTGCGCTCGCCTGGCATGCGTGCGGCCTGGGTTCGATCCTCAGCACCACATACAAACCAAGATGTTGTGTCCGCCAAATACTAAAAAAAATAAAAAAATAAATATTAAGAATTAAAAAAAAAATAAAGGTTATAAAAAATAAATAAATAAATAAATAAAATAAATTTAAAAGGGCTGGGGCGGTCAGGCATGGTGGTACGTGCCTTAATCCCAGATACTCCGGAGGCTGAGGCAGGAGGATTGAAAATTTGAGGTCCAGCAGCTTAGCAAGGTCCTCAGCAACTTAGTGAGACTCACTCTCATTTACTTTTTTTTTTTTTTTGCAGTGCTAAGGGTTCATGTATGCCAATT